AAGCTTGTAACTAAGGATTTGAGATAAGAGTAATGCTACAAGTACATAATGGTGTACATAAGGGTGTACATAATACTCACATTGTGTGGGACCCACAAAAAATAAAAAATCAAGTGGACCTCACACCATGTGAGAGTTATGTACACCTCTATATACACTTATTATATACATGTAGCATTTTCCGATAGATAATATATCATTGTTAAAAAAAGATGCATACTTATACAACAAAATGCCATATTTTTTGTGTATGTTGTGCTTTATTCTACAACATTTTAATATATATATGTTAAAAAAGTATGCAAACCTAACCATTAGGCTAACCTCAATGTATACTCAATGTTCTTTTTTATTCTTTTCTTTTTTCCTTTCCGAGGGGGCACAGTAACAGTAACGTGTGGTCCACATAAGGTCATTAAATATATAAACGGCTTCTTGTTTTAGGATAATCAAAATGGACATGATGAAGAATCAAGTGCAAAATTGCCCTTTAGTCAAAATTGATGTTAACCCACAACTTTAGAATATTTGGTCCTACGTAATAGACCACATTAGATGACATGAGCCTTCTTTTATTGTGTGGCTGCAAAAAGTTGGTCCCTTTCTTTGCCATTTTTTATTTTAACCGGGTATGCAGTTACATACCCCGGTTCGACTGGGTATGTTGTTGTTTTTGTTTTTTTGTTTTTTTTTTGTTTTTGTTTTTTTTTTTTGTAATGTTATGCATATTGGAACGTCCCCTTTGATTATGTGTGGCAACCAAAAATTTTATTATAAATGCTGGATTTTCTTGGTGCACTTTCATGGGCCATATGCAAAACTTGTGGATATTGTTTGAACATTAATGAGTTAAAAAGAGGGACCCTTTTACCTCTCTACTGCTGCAGGTGAATTTACTCTCGCTCTGTTTGAGTAAAGAGTGTGTGGTGAAGTTAGTTTTTCGAAGTATTTACGAATTTTCGGTTTGAATGCTATTGAAAATGGTTTCGCTTTGAGATTTTTGTTTTTTATTTTTCAGAAAATATTTCTCGATAAATATTATTCGCTTTTCTTTTGTTTATCAGTTGACATCAGAAAGCCCTTTGAATTATTATATATATAGATATTGACTAAACGTACGACTAAATACGCAGGCTTGTAAAGAAAGGTACGAGGACCTGCAAAAGCGTTATTCCGGCTCAACGTGAGTGATAACTCGTCTCATGAACTCACTTGGTTTTTGTTGTCATGCGTGCTTGGCATTCATCTCGTCCCTTTTAGATTTACTCTTGTTTGTGTCGAATTATAACTTTTTTATTCGTGAGTTTTCTAATGTCAAAAGACTAATGGAATGCATGTTTGTGCCTCTGATGCCTCAGAGCCTGGTTCGATGAGCTGAGAAAGCAACGTGTGGCAGAGCTAAAACTAATACTCGCACAATCCGAAGATTCAATAGGGTCTCTTAACACAAATATACATAGAACATAAATGTATTTATGCACTGATCACAATAAAAGTGAGTTATTATTTATTTATTTATTTATCCAGGTCCCTCGAGTCAAAGATCAAATCTTTAATAAAGTCCGAGAAAGTAAACTCGTCTCCGGCCGGTTATGGTTCGAATGGGACCCATTCACCGAACAATGAAACCTCCGCAGGAAGCTTCACGAAAGACACCACGCCCACAAATAGGTCCACGACCAGCTGGCCTTGTCACAATCATCTTAAGATGAACACACCTCTTTTTTCTTCTGAGGATGGTCTCGACAAAAATTCCCGTGCAAAAAGTTTGACGGGGGTCGATTGCAGGCCTGTGATTGTCTTGAGAAAGAGGAGGGGTCAGAGGAGCAGAAGGGACTGCGGCCGGGTGGCTGAGGAGAGAAGTGTGGGCGAGAGTGATAACTTGGGTTGTAACAACGTTGTTTTGAGTTCAAATGCGGGGAAGGTGATTTCGGGCGGTGATGGTGAGCTGAATGAGGGGTCGTGGGGTGTGGAGAAAGACGAGTTGATCGGGATTTTCCGATGTGTTGCAGAGACTGAGCCCGCGTCTGTGTTTAGACACCGTATGGACAGTCAGGTAATTGTGTGTGTGTGTGTGTGTGTGTGAAAATATTAGGTATTAAATTTTTTGAAAAATAAAACTTTAGGCATTAATGTTGTTAAATTAAACGAGTTTGGCTCGAGCTTGAGCCCTTAACGAGCCAAGCTCGAGCTCATTTAAAGATCATTTGGTTAACGAGTCGAGTTCGGCTCGGCTCGATAAGGCTCGAAAAGAGAATTTTATATAATTTTCTGTAATTGGGCTCGTTAAAGCTCGAGATCGGCTTGTTAAAAGTGATAAATGAGATGAACTCGATTTTGGCTCGTTTACAGGCCTATTAGGCATTCAGCTAATCTAAGAACAGCTTATAAATTCTAACTTGGGAGTTTTCAAGATTTCATCCGAGGGAAAAATGGTAATTGTAAAACTACAACTGAGTTTTAGTATATTACATTAGTAAATTTATCTTTTAACATTGCAAGGTATGTTATTTGCCTCATGATTTTTGCCTCTTTTCACTCTTGAGATTTGAGAGTGGATCTTTATGATGAGGCCGCTCTTGAAGATGTCAGGGGGGTTTATTTGCAATTCTAAAATGTAATTGTCAAAGTTTTTGGGAGTAAGATGAAAGGAATTTAAGATGGTGGTAGAGATGTTACAGTGTCCTATACTCCTATATGTTCAGAAAATAAAAGGTTATTATTTACCTCAGCTACCCTGTCCATTAGTATAACTACAAAATGAGTCCCCTGTCTTTTTTTTTTTTGATACAGGGACCTTCCGGTTTTCGGATCCACAGGGACCTTCCCGTGTCTTTTATTATTACAAATAACCCCTTTCACAATTTCATATGCTTGATCAACCCTCTTGAGAAAACTTTTTTGTATGACAAAATGTGAGAAGTTTTGGGTCCTTTGCTCTTCAACAACAAAATCATCATTTTTCACTTAAAAAACAGCTCTATTTATTTATTTATTTATTTTTTTTTTGCTTTGAGCAACAAATAGAAAATCTCTAACAAATTTTCTACCAACAGAAACGAGCAAGATACAGAAAACTGATCAAGCAGCACGTGGACATCGGCACCATAAAATCAAGAATAATCGGGAAATCCATAAAATCGGCCAACGAGCTCTTCCGCGACTTTTTCCTCGTCGCGAACAATGCCCTCGTTTTCTACTCGAGACGCACGCGCGAGTACAAATCGGCACTCTCCCTCAGGCAGCTCGTCATGCGTGAGTACAAGCAGCACTGCATGGGGTCCAACAGCCATAGGCCCACATCGAGTTTTATCCCATGCAATCCTCCCGTTAGGCCCCGGACTGCTCGTCCTCGTCCCCAGTCCCGGGCATTGCCATGCAAGGAAGAAAAGGGCCCGATTTTTGAGAATGGCGGTTTGGACAAGAACCCGGGTTTGGAAGATAATAAGAAGCCAGGTTCTGACATTAATGGTAAGAAAACTGGTTTTGATATTGATAATAAGAAACCTGGTTTTGATGATAAGAAGACCGGTTTTGATATTGATGGTAAGAAACCCGGTCTTGGTGATAAGAAGACAGGTTTTGATGATAATCGGAAGCCCAGTTTTGATATTGATGATAAGAAACCCGGTTCTGGTGATAAGAAGACCGGTTTTGATGATAATCGGAAGCCCGGTTTTGGTATTGATAGTAAGAAGCCCGGTTTTAGTGACGGTCGTTTGTCGAAGGATAAGAAAGGATTGAAGAGGCCGGGGAAGTTGAGACGTGGATTGGTTGATGGGCAGAGTAAGAATTGTGTGAAACAGAGGAAAAGGATTAGAAGGTGATGAGAGTGTGTTTTTTGGCAACTGTTGATAGAATTGTCTAAAATTAATTATATGTTCTAAACTTTAGATGTAGGCAACTTTTGGGCCTCGGAAGAGATTGGACGGATTGATTTGTCATACTTTTGGCCTAAAAATGTGTACTTAGATGTAAAATCTCATATTTTTGTTCCATTTTTTTTTTTTAATTTATAAATATGGCATCTTCCATAAACAAAAAGAATATATTTATTGAAATAGTATATCAAGGTTAAACTTGTCTCACACTATCATACCATAGGTGACATTTTTGTTATGGTCCTTATGGATATGCAAGATTAGAGTGTTTGTTCAACTCATATAATGTAAAAACATTTCATGTACACTAATCATTGGCAAATTTAGAATAATTCAGTCGATTTGAATTAACTCACGTCTTGTCTGTATATAGTCTATTTTCTCTATATAAACGATATATGGGATGACTCACAAGTGAATATTATAATTCTCAAATATTATAGACCATTTTTTTGGACTTACAGTTCTTCATTGATTATGTTCGTAAGATGTGCTTTGGGGCCGTTGCACAAATCTTGACATTTAAATACGGGCTTGGGCTCACAGTAACCGGCCCGCCCAATAAACAACTTAGACTAAAATAAATTGAGGAGCGTGCATGGACGCCACGTGCACAAACGTCTAACGGGTCTAACCCCGGCAGCCACAGCTGGCCACCACCTTGCATGGGCGACACGTGTCTACAAGATGAACAAGACCCCTGTCTACGGGATGAGTAATATATATTGCCTCGTAATTTACAATTGTTGTTGCTAAATAAATATAAGCTTCATTCATTAAATCATACTACCTACTATTTTTAATATATGTCGTTTTGAGAAGTTGCATACTAGTTAAGAATATTTTTTTTGTCAATAATAACCTTATTTAATGAAGATAGAGATGAATGTTTTGAAAAAAAGTGAAAAGTGAATATGGAAAGACGTAATGTATTTATTGGCTAAATGAGAGTAATAATAGAAAAATATGTACAAAAGATCAAAAATGACATTTATTTGACAAATAGTTGAAAAGGCTAGAATGACATTTAAAAAAAATAGGAGGTAGTAGTATTAAAGGACATGAATTAATAATTGGATAATTAATTGTTGTGTTTATTCCTTCTAGGGCCTTAATTGCATTGAAACCACTCTAGATAGCCTTCCCAAGTTGTACCGTTTTACCAAACACATGATTAATTAAGGATTAACAGGAACTAAGTAATTAGTCATATTAATTACAAAATAATAATTTTTATAATAAAATGAATTCTTGGGTGGGCACTGATTACATTATTTTATTTTATATTATAAATGTGACGATGTACAAAATGTGGCTTAGGTTATGATTAATTTGTGCATAAATTGTGGCTTTTAATATTATAGGTAGATATAGGTGGTTTACCAACTATAATATATAAAGCTTCAGAACTAATATATATATACCATACAATTGGAATATTTGAAATTGAAAACTATAATATATAAAGCCTATGTGTGTTATGTATCTGTATTATTCAGAAACTGTTTACAAACAGTTGATTGATTTAGCTTTTATTTACTTATTATTTTCTCTTTCCCTTTCTAAATGAGAATGCTATAGGCCCATTGGAAGACAGCAAATTGAAGATAAATTAGCGGATTGAACTTAATTGAAAGGTTTGACCCGTCAAATCCGCTATTGATAAGCTTTTTTGGGCCCAAAACTCTAATTTAAAAAAAGTTCATTAGAGAAGCTTTTTGGGATAGACAATTCACAATCTACTATTTTAATTTGGAACTTATTAATTTATATTATTTATATTACAATTTACATTGGTTTATGGTGCTCATAAATAATAATATGTTATCCATATGATTAATTGATGTAAAATTTATAACTTCTTAATCAAGTGTTAGTAAATTTTAAAAAATATATATATCTATAAATTATCAACTAAAGAATATTAAATATTTTAATATATTATTATTAAAATAATAGCCCTAAATAATAAAAATGTCCTTATTGGTAATTTGCAATGTTAAACAGCTATAAGCTTTCAGCTATTTATCAAGCACTTATTTAAAAACTGCTAATGTAATTCGTTGATCAAATCAGCTAATATAATCCGATATCCGCTGATCGCCAAACAAGGCCATAGTCCCGTTACGGTGTCAATTAGGCATGACCAGGTGTCGGGTCGCGACCCGGCCCACCAGGTCGGCGGGCCTCAACATTATGGCCCGTAACAGGCTCGAAAAAACCTATGGGTCGATTCATAGAACCGGCCCGAAACCGCTGGTTCACCAACCCGGCGAGTCTCGGACGGTTCCGGACCGGTACGGCCTTAAAAATCCCCCAAAAAAGCAACGTTACCCGCGACCCGGCCCGGCCTGGCGGGTAAAAAACAAAGAGTGTTTTAACCGGGACCGAACCGCAATCTTACGAGTCCGGTTCAAGGAACCGACCTTTAAGAGGACTGTTCCGGGTCGGGCCGGGGCCGGTTCACGGGCCAGTTCGGCCCGTGGACACGCCTAGTATCAACTCGTCGGGTGTTTTAACTATTGGATTATTCACCTTATACTAACTATATGTGTATTCAGTGGTTAAAATACCCGATGGAATAGTACCGTAACAAAATCGTAGCATTTGCTGGAGTGATTATGGCACAACGGGACTAGGCCACTAGTTAGGACGAAAAAAGATTAACTTTTTTTTTTTTTCTTTTTAATAACAAGTCACAATTTTCATCAACCCTATAAGAAAAAGTTCGACTGTATAATCTCACATGAAGAGCGTGGTTTATTTCAACTAATTGACCAAAATTATAATTGCAAAGCAAATTGTGTGCGCTTCAAATTATTGACACGTCACCGTAAAATTCACTATATATAATAAGATTATAAGCATTTGTATAATTCAAATGTATTTATTTCTTTAACTATATATTCGGTCCTAAAACATTTTTGTTTTAATTTGTTCCATATTTAGCTTTTCAATCCATTTTACAAAAACTAATTAACAAACTGATACATTGTTTGTAAATCCGACTACCCGGTGAGTCGACTTTGGACCCGGCCGACCCAGAACCAAAACCAGTCCGAGTAAGCTATTTGGACCGGGTAACAATGAACCCGGTCAAAACTCGGCCAACTCGGTCTTGACGCTAATATTTATTGTGAGATATAATTCTTTTAATACTTTGATGTACAAATTTTATATGCAAAACATTTATTCTTGTTACTTTTATGTATATTTATATGTCAAAAATACTATATATAATTTAAAAATTAGAGAAATACTACGATCCTGTTACGGAACCATTCCATCGCGGTTTGTAACCGTTGGATCATCATGTAACCGTCGGGAATAGTTGATCTAACGGTCACAAACTCCGACTGAATTGTTCGCAGCGGGACCGTAGCATCTCCATTTTTTATATTTATTAACATGAGATTTCTTTGTCGTTATAGATAAGAGACAAACTGTTTAGAATTCCAATTTTGAAGTTAAATTACTAGCTAGAATTAGAAGCTAGCTAGCTTTTTAATATCTTATTCGAGCTTTATTTGCTATACTAATTAATTGCAATTGATGGTTTAAAATTATATTATAATTTAAGCATGAACTAAAATAGCAGACATAGATAGAAAAAATAAACTATAATGTTGTGGTTTTCAACACCATCGACGGAAAAGAAAATCATATATCATGAAATTTGGTGTAAAGTCAGTAAACAAATACCGAAATTTCTCGTTTTCTGAAGATAAAATAATAATGGATATAGGTCAACATTTAGGTGGTGTAGATAGATCTATGTTATTATAATTATTACAATTATAATTATATTTATAGTAGTACTAAATAATTAACAATGTCGGTGCTTTAACTATCCCAATTCAAATGCAATCCTAATTTTGCCTAATGTTTTTTAAAAATATAATTAATTATTACTAAACATGTGATAATATAAATAGTTTGTAGATTTCTAAATAATTGTCACAACCAATATAATTCAATTGATAAGCTAGTTGAACCCAACTCATAAATTTAACAAGTCATCAATGAATAAATTCCAAAATTAACAAACCAAATTACATTAAAAAAAACTTTAAGAAATATTGTACAACTCTTTTCTTTTTTCAAGTTTATCCCATTCCTCATCTCGTTATCTAAATTAGACTTGTAAACAAATAGAATATGTTTGAGTATGGTAAACAAATCGAATACGAATCAGAAAATGAGTCGTTTACGAATCGAATACGAATTCAAATTCTCGAATATTTTAACGAATTCGAATTGAAACCTTATATTTGTTCTGATTCGATTCGTTTACAATCCTAACCTAAATGAGTTTGAACTAGGCTTATTATCAAATTAAATTATGAACCGTTTAACAACTTATTGTTAATTTACTTATGTATTGTTAATGTTAGTCATCTCTAACCATAGGCCCAAAATGAGCGTATATGTGTACAATACAAACATGTTAACGTATTTGTTATAAAAAAAAATATTCGGTGCGGTGCAGTTAAAATCGCACCCTTCGAATGAAATCGAACCACACCGAAATTTGTGCAGTTTTTCAAAATTTTAACCGTACCGAAAATCGAACTCTTAAAAAATCAAACAGAACAGTACCGTTTAACCGTACCGAAAATCGAACTCTTAAAAAATCAAACAAAACAGTACCGAATACATCGATTCGATTCGACTTTTTCGATCCCCACTCGATTTTGCTCACCCCTACTCGAGTCTCGTCGAATGGAACTAAGATATAAGTTTCGTTTAACTACTCTATGGACGTCATTACTCTAAATTTCATTGCAAGGAAAAGAAGAAGTTCTGATTTTATTTATTTTTCCATTTCCCCTTTTTCTCCACCGCTTTGTACGTAGGCTGTTACTGTTGGTCTCTTCCACCTGTCAGCCTGTCCGTCGTCGTTCTTCACACGCAGAAAAAGCTCGCGAGCGCGCGCGCACACACACACACACAGTTGTGCGTTTATCGCAGTCTTTTTTGTGGTGTTTTTCTTTTTCTTTTTCTTTTTTTTTTGGGATTTGTTGTACGAATTTAATAATATAGAAGCACACATGAGATTTTAGCCGAGGTGATTTGAGGCGATATATTAAAGGGCGGAGGTTTAATTTCAGCTGGAGGAAAGTCTAATCTCCGCATCTCACTGTCTGTCTCTGATTATTCGAATCCTTAGCTTTATATCG